GAAGAAAGAATGCATGGTCATCAGCAAAAGGAGGAGCCTAAAATGCGATTTGTAGGCCGGGGACACTAAAATGAAGCAGGTGCGGATGTTTAAATATCTGGGAAGTATTTTGACGGAGGGCGGTAAGTGCGACGCTGAGATCCGAAGAAGGATTGGGATGGCCAAGGATTCATTCCAAAAGCTGGGAAGAGTACTGCGAGACAGGAGGATTTCTTTGGTGACAAAGAAAAGAGTACTGAGCTGCTACGTGGCATCTGTCATCCTATACGGCAATATTGGACGGTCTCTGCAAAGATGAAGAAGAGACTCGTGGCAGCGGAGATGTGGTTCTATAGAAAGATGTTGTGGATATCATGAACCGAGCGTGTGAACAACGATGAGGTCTTGGATAGGGTGAAAACAAGGAGGAAGCTTATACTTAACATAAGGAAGAGGCAGATGGAATTTCTGAGACACGTAATGAGCAAGGAGGGCCTGGAGAGCAATGTATGACATACCTGATGGGCTTAAGCAAGTGGATGGCAGAACGTGGTCTGGTGAAGTTGGCAGAAGCTCGAAACTTATTGAGAGCCACAAAGGATAGGGCGAAGTGGAGAGCCATGTTCGCCTACATCCTGAAAGGATACGGCACATAAAAAGAAAAGAACAAACAGACGCTACTTTTCACTTTTAACAAAGTCCTAAACATTGATATATCATTAATTACGTTGCTTCCACTGAATACTTCTTATTCTGCTGAATCAATATTTCGATGTTAGTTTGTTTGCTTTGTGTAGATTTTAGCACTAAGTTGTCGTAAGAGCCAAATGTAAACACCCGCCATAAATCTGCCGCCAAATAGTAAAACATGTTGGTGCAAGCTGATTTGAATATTTGAGTAGTTTATCTTGTCTGACGCTTTGAATTTGGTCAGGAAGTCGAGCTGTAGAGACGAGAGCGGGAAAAGCAAGGAGGGCCGATTTAATGATGTCTTCTCTAACATTGTCAGCCTTTGTCCTCAGAATAACAATGGCGGAATTTCACAGTTTAAAAAAAATTAAGCAGATCTGAAAGGAACCGAGGAATAGGTGCCAATGCCTACTTCACAAAGTGGTAGCTTCTTCTTTGCTGACCTTTACTGCACTTAGCCTTCATTCAGTTTTTCGCCTGTTTGTCAGAAGACGGAGATTGATGGCGCTTTCCAATTTCAATGCCAACGGCCGATGTTCTCTTTGCAGAAGCCATTACTCTTTTTCACGATTGAAATTAAGACAAGCAGCTGAATAGTGAATGCCGAAAACCAAACCTAACATCGAAACCTTTTAGGAAATAGCTGAATAACAAAGATTAAAGTGGGAGATAAATTAAAATGAAATTACCCAGTTGATCATTTAAGGATTATCATTCTGGTCAAACATTTCAAATTATTTCATATATATATATATATATATATATATATATATATATATATATATATATATATATATATATATATATATATTGAAAGAGGCTGTTTTTATTTTCCAAATTAATATTAATTTGATCCTTTAAGCTCTTTAAAAATTGTTGCAGACAGATTTTTTTATTTAATCTGACAAGAAAAAAATTAGCAAAATATTAAACCTGAATCTGTCAATAGGCTGGATGATTACTTCTTCTGTCTGGCGTGTCACCTCAAAGATGTTTCGATGTTCTAATTTACTAAGCTTAGCTTACTTTGTTACAAAGCCAAAAGCATTGGGAACGTAGTGAGATTAAATGAACTACTCACTCGTAATAGTGAACTTGACTGACTTGCTAAACATTATCCCATGCAACAGTGAACAAATTAACATTGTTACATTCGAAGACTCAGTTCTGCTGATAAAGGAACATATAACGTTCGACGCATTGTATGAGAAGTAGCAGCAGCAGTAGTTTACATGGCCTCCAAATCACAGATTGGAGAATATGTAGCTTCAGACGTGTTAACTCCAACCACCGATAAGTATTTACTTGCAACAGGGATATTGACACCACAGCCCTATCGTGCGCGTCTTTAACTACATGCCGAGGGCTTGGATTGAATGGCGTACTGATGATTAATGATCGTTTAAAGCTCATCTTACAGACCTTCAGAATGACATCTTGGAGAATGTTCCGATCGACTACATACATCCACAATCCATAGAATCGTGGTGTGTGGTACTATAAATTACAACTTTCATCCAAAGGGTACCACAAATGTTCACAACATGGTTAAACTCATTCTGCTGCTATTCCTGCTACAATAGGCGGCCTATCATTCCATCAGGATAATACCTACCCACATGACGCCTATGTAACTCAAAGCACTTCTCTTATCGGTATTATTACCATAACAGTCCGTATTTAACACGTATTGATGGGACGTCTGCTAACTCATTCTTTTGGTCCACCTATAAATTTTGTTTCATTACATCAACAACTAAACGCGTGTATCTCAGGACGGTATATCGCTATCTTTACGATCGTGTGTATGCGAAAGCACAGAGATGTGTTAACTCCGAAGGAAGATAACAAGGGCATTAATATCCGATTTGGGAAGAATTCATATTTTCTTATTTTTTCTTTTAATCTGTGCACGTATTGATGATTTACTTTAATCCAACTATACTAAATTTTCGGCTTATCATGATTAAATAGAAACATATTTTCAGGACGTTGCAAATATATTTTCCGACTTCATTTGGAAGGATCATGTCTAAGTCTATGCACTGTCCTTACGTTTTCACATGATGCCAGAGAAGTTAAAATCTGACAATATGGCATGAAGATATATTCTAAAGATTGATGTTACCCTGTGCAACATTTCTCACTTATATGTTTTTCTGAAAAATATGGCTTATTTTCCATTAGCCTGGCCACTTAAAATCATCTGTGTATGGCGCCAACTGGTCGACGATAATACATTGAAATCAACCATAGAGTCTATTGTATATACATAGAGTTACTAAATTATAAACGCTTACGGCCACATTACATCGAAACAACGGTTCCTGTACGATCATCGAAGTTAAGCAACGTCGAGTCTGGTCAGTACCTAGGTGGATAACCACCTGGGAATACCAGGTTCTGTAATCTTGGATGTGCAGGTGGTGTAATGAATAATGGGCGGAGTTCTTAAACGAGTCGAGTCCCAATTTCAGTTGGATTCGGTATATCCAATTACGCGAAAATACCTTTAGTAAAAGTATGAATTCATCTCCTTTCCCCTAGGTATGGATTAATTAGTAAAACCATTATCACAGTCATTATTATCGCTAAAAAAACATCATAATAATCTGTGCATATTTTCTGGCTTTAAATAACATGTGACGAGTTAATAAGCCGTAGAAAATGAATCAATCAACCAAATTAAATTATATATATATATATATATATATATATATATATATATATATAGATAGATAGATAGATAGATAGATAGATAGATAGATAGATGTCAAAGTTTCTGTCTGAATTTCTGGGATGTGTAGTTATCGTTTTTGCATTATTTTCTTGCGGTCTATTGACCTTATCTTTGTTATCAAAACGTTTCACCTGTTGTGTTCTCCGGCCTTCATCAAGTGTATGTAAATCCGGGTAAACTACAGGGAGTTCGGAAACGAAGTCTTTCTTTAATCTATGGAGTTAGACTGTTCTCTTTCCAAATGTCTAGGGATAATCTCATTTAATTCTTATTTCGTACTGCAAGGTTATAAATATAGTAGAGTATGTGGCCGATCCACGATCCTTTTGACCTGGAATGAGTTACTCTTTCTGTCCGAGGAGTACACAAGAAAATTTATGAAAAGAGGGGGAGAGGAATAAGAAAGAAATTGGTGTGAAAAGAAGGGTACTCATAATTTTGTATAAAGAAATACACATAGGCGTTTACAGAATTGAATCAGGTCTCTAGTTTTGAAATTGGGTGGATTTTAAAATTTTGGAAGACAGACAAAACAAAAGATTGAAATAAAAACTATTGGTTTGTTTTTCTCAAATGTAAAAGAAATGAAAAAGAGAAAAACCTGACTAATTTTGTTTGGAGGAGGAGAAATGTCGGACAAAGAAAAGACTTGTCACATTGTCATGGAAAAGTTAACTTAAAAATAATTGAAGAGTATAAAGAAAGGCGTCACGATTTGAATACAATCAAAAGGTCATCTTGTTGGCTTTCTGATTCAAGTCAAGTTCGGCAAATTCTATTCGTAGCTTAATTAAAGCGACCAATAGTCAACGTTTTCTTAGAGAAATGCCTGTATTCATGAAAATTCAGTGAATTAAACAGATCTTGGGGTGCTTGTTATCACGAGGATTATCAACTTTTTATATCTGTCTAATCTTTGTTTTTCTTAAATTTAAAGAAAGGCATATTTGCAAAACAAAAGACTGTTTTAAAAGATTTATCAATTGCTTCAACTGTTCAGAAGAAAACAATTTTCAAACAACATTCACTTTCATGAAATCAGAAAAGATTTAATACATACTTTTGATTAGTATGACTTTCTATCTAAGACTGTTTTTTTCAGACTTTCTTCCCAGTTATCCACCTCATGCGGTCCATATCTATCTATCTATCGATCTATCTATCTATCTATGTCAGTTTGTTGATATCTATCTATCTATCTATATATATATATATCGAAGAATTCACATTATCTATCTATCTATACATATATCGAAGAATGCACATTATCTATCTATCTATACATATATCGAAGAATGCACATTACCTATCTATCTATCTATCTATCTATCTATCTATCTATCTATCTATCTATATCAGTTTTTTGATATCTATCTATCTATCGAAGAATGCACATTATCTATCTATCTATACATATATCGAAGAATGCACATTATCTATCTATCTATCTATCTATCTATCTATCTATATATATATATATATATATATCGAAGAATGCACATTATCTATCTATCTATCTATCTATCTATCTATCTATCTATCTGTCTGTCTATCGAAATATATTCGTTCACTCAATCTATTTCCAACATAAGTACTTATCATCATGTCCCAGTGATCGTAAGAGCGAAACCGTTTGGTGTTTCAACTCCTGTAGGCTCACCTATGGCGGTAAAGCAGGAGGGACCAAACTGAATGCGACCAACCCCCAAAGACCCCCAACGGCGGAACAGACAAAGATCTATACGACCTCAACTACCAAACCGGAGGAAGAGGGCAGGACCAGTCGGGCTGGTGTAACCAGAGCAAAACTTGACAGACCAAGTATCCACCAGCCCGATATATATGTAAATTAGTATTTCATTTTTTTGATAAGGTGTTGTATATGAGGTCTCTTTTTTTTTTTTAAATGTTTATATTTCTTAGTAAGCTGTTCTAACTTAACTGAAAGGAAATACAATTCAAAATTTAGAAAGATTTGATTTTCATATCTAAACTAGTTCAATACTCATAGCTCAAGCTGGTAAATTTGAATTTATTTGCTTTCGAAATACTCATCTAATTATGTCCTGGGTATGACGATAAATTACATCCGGCAGCAAGGCTTCTGATCAGGATATTGGAGATTTCGAGGCGAGTGGAACCAACTCTTAAATGCTGTTGTTCCACGGTCCACTCTAACCCGGAGTGGTAGCACCTCTTAGGGTTCCAGCTATGGGCAAATAGTGAACTCCCAAAACGTTATGAAAGTATAAAAATACCTATTTATAGTAAAAATACCAGCAATACATTTTTATATAAAGTTACCTACTTATAGTAAAATTAACAGTAATACATTTTTATATTAATTTACCAACAATACTTATTTATAGTAAAGTTACCAACAATACATTTTTAAAGCAAAATGACCAACTATACATTTTATTGTACAATAGCCAGCAATATATTTCATCTGTAGTTGAAGACATACAACTGTGTTCAAAATAATTAGATTTCGGCATGAAATAACCCATAGAGGTTTTGATATGCCGCTAAACTAAATCAACCACCTAATCAAATTCTTTTTTTCTTTGTGATTGTTTATTCTAATGTTTAATATTTTTCTTTTACTCTTTTTTTTTTTCGATTCCATTTAGTTACTCTCCGTGTTTCTGTTTCCCACTTTCAGTTTTTCTTTCTTTCGTTAGACTTTTCATCTCCGTCGGTGTAAACTGAATCTTACAGGAATTCAATGTCATTTGATGAAAAAAAAAAAGGTTTAATAAAGAAAGTAAAGCGGATTTTTCCAGCTTAATTGTTTCATATTTTACTTATATTCATTTTTCAAACCCTTTTGACTTACGGCAACTGCGGCTAAATTTTTACAGACGTCAATTATTATACATACGAACCTACGAGAGCCAAACGAATCTTCTGCATCTATTTATATAATTATTGTTGAGACGATGTCTATTTAATCTGTTCTAACCTTTCTACTGAATATATTTGATTGAAAACACTGTGTAATTTTTTTTTAATTAGTGATGGAAAATATTGTCTGCTTACATTATTGAATCTGTAATCATCATATTATAACCAGGCTTGTTCCTTTGTTTCTTAGTACTAGCCCTACCAATTCCTCAGATAAACAAGGGGCCATTCCTTATTAATTGCAAAAACAAATAATATATATATATATATATATATATATATATATATATATATATATATATATATATATAATAAAGACACTGATTGCTTTTAGAGAAAAAATAAATAAAGAGGAAAATGAAATGAATAAAGAAAAAAAGAAAGAAAGAAAGAAAAAGAAAGGAAGGAAGAAAAAAGAAAGAAAGAAAGAAAAAAGAAAGGAAGGAAGAAAAAAGAAAAAAAAAAAAAAGAAAGAAAGGGAAGCTAGAGAAAGCGATAACGCTCTCAGATGTTTAACGTCTGCTTCAGTGAAATAGATAAAAAAGTTGTCAATTTAGCAACTTTTAGCATCTTACTTCTTTAATGACCTGCATTCATACTTGTGGTTGTTACTGTAATATTTTGCTAAAGTTGTTAAGCTCGAATATTTAACGAGGCAAGAGGTGATTTCCATATGTATTTTATAGACATTGAACTCTGAATGATGAACTTATTGAAGCATTTACATTAGAATTAAGATTCACCAGAAAATTCAAATAGGAAAGCCTTTACTACTCTATATTAAAAATATTTAGTATTTTAGTATCTCGTACGATGGAGACGAACCCTGACCAAACACCTCAAGTCAGGGGAGGAGAAGCTGAAACAAGTTGCCACGGAAAGTGGGGGGGCGTAGAAAGCAAAGTGACAGCTCCAACAGACCAGAGAGAGAACACACATGCCATCTCTGCAACAGAAATTGTCACTCCCGCATCGTCCTCTACAGTCACAGATATTGATGCTCCAGCCATAACTAGGATGCTACCCACGCTCAACTCTGACCGACGGAGGCCTGAGTATCTCATTGCTGATGTAAATGTAAAATGAGCCAATGAGATTTAAGTCTTTTTTCCTTTCGCCAAAGTTTTAATTCCTCCCGAGAAACAACAGCAGAGAATTGTTTACATTTTGATCAGTTGTTTTGTCTTTAATCGTTATCATATTTGTTCACCTCAAAATGGCAGATATATTATTTTTCATATCTATGCTGTTTGAAACCGGCCAGATTATAATTCTAGACAAATTTTCTTAATTCTAGAAAATGTCCAGAATGTTAATGAACTCCAGAAATAAATTCCAACGAATTAAGGATTAGAGGGAAACCCCATCAATCTTCATTTTTAATAATGACTTTGTTCTCAAGTTCCATCTCTACATTACAAGGAAACTTCATGGTTTTTGGTTCATTAAGTAAAAATTGGTTTGAAAATGCTTGTCTGCAGTTTTATTTTCACATTACTTGAATTCACGTTTATAATCATTTTCTTATTTTCTCTTGCTAATTTTTTTTTTATTCCGATAGTTAACCTAATTTTAAAAAACACAAAAGTTTGGAAAAATATAAAAGAATGAAAATATTTACAAATCTTATGTAATGAACAGTTCCTTGGCATACGAATGTCAGTTTTAAAAATCAGTGAGATGTAATGCGTCATACATTATAAAACCGAAATGTAGTCGAACACCGAACAGTTACAAACAGATTTATTCAACATTTACAGCAAGGTCGTTAAAAAAAAAAAAAAAAACTAGGAGTCCTACCAGGATTTATTACTGGTGGCCACAATCTTGACACTATAGGACGTTGAGATAATACTATGTTAATAGCAGAAACGGAGAGGGCATTCTAGAAACTATTACAGAATGTGGTAAAGGAAAGGGAGGGGAAAGGACTAAACGTCAACCGTAAGAAAAATGTGTGGTTGTTAACATGAGAATTCAAATCCAAGTTATGAACTACGAACTGAAGTTGTCAAAAAGTGTCTTCAAAAAACTAAACTAAGTATTAAGAAATAGGAAATTTTCATTAGAAACAAAGAAAAGAGTGCTGAACTTCTTCTATAGGATCATTAATGCCGGATTAATTTCCTCACAGATGAAGAACAGACTTCAGAGAACATAAATGTGGTTCTACAGAAAGATGCTAAGAATACCTTAGACGGAACATGAGAGTAACGAGGAAGTTTTAAAGAAATTGGAAACAAAATGGTCCCTTATACTTAGACAGCTGAAATTTCATGGAAACATAATGAGAAAAGAAGGCTTGGAAAATATGACCCTCACAGGATATGTCAAAATCAATAGGGGTATGGAGGAACAGTGATTAACGTAACTAACAAAATTATTTAAATGGATAACAGAACAGGGAATTGAAGAGATAGTTGTGGGTCAAGCATGACTTAGAGCTACAAGGGATAGGAAGCTGTAGAGAGCCACGAGACCCCCCCACTTTCTGAAATGACACAGCACATTGATTTAGAAGATGAATTTCAAATCGCTTTTGCAATAATTTGTCTTTTTCGTTATATTTTGTAAAATTGCCATTATATTCAACACATTTGATCTGTTCATTTAAGTATGGAAATTGAACCAAATCCACCTTTCCTAAGAAATGAGCAGGATCTATTACATCTTGAACATGTTGTTATTATGTACAAAGCTATCAAATAACTTGTTCCGGTCGTGTAGCTTCAAATTTCAATCATTGACATTTGATGGTAATATCAAGCTGAAAAGACAAAATCAAATAGCCAATTATTACCAGAAAAAAAGGATCTTTCCGGGGGGACAGCTCAATTTTTATTTCTATAAGATGACAAAGAGCAATTTTCGATTCGGAACATGCACCCCGACAAACCCAACTGTGCTGTCCATTTTCGAAATCAAATTTTTCTCAAGAAGGAAGCAAGCACCGGGCATTTCGTCCATGGTTACTAAGGATACCTCCTTCAATTCTACTTTTATTTTAGATCGCCCATTTTGTATACACCACCCGACCTAGGAATATGAACACACAACCATTCTGTCACTAAATTCACAAATCAACGCTTTTTCCGCTCAGGCTATTGTCAGGTTGAACAATGTGCCGCAGTAAACGTAGAGCCTTAAATTTAACTTAACTGCTGATTAGGTTGCAACTGCTGCTGCTGCTGCTGCTGTAGAAGACTTGATCTCATTCATCTTTCTTACTATATTAGCGGCCTCCGTAAATTGTCCCTTTTGTTCCCACAAGCTGACGCTGATGTCATATTTACCAGGTAGTTGTTTCGCTAGGTTATGAGGACTTCCTTAATAGGCCTGGCATAGTTATAAATATAATATAAAGGGTTCCATTTAGAATTCATTGTAGGTTACCCAGATCGAGGTCTGAGGAAGGCCGAAGGGCATAATGACCGAAAGGTTATGATAAAACCAAAACATAAAAATCTGAAGCACATATTGCATACGTTCATAGCATTCTCGTCTGAGCTATCTTCAAGCTTTTATTTTATTTTGCACATTTCACAACAGGTAACACGACATACTGTAAATTTAAATTTTTTTTTTTTAAATACAGTTACTTCAATAATGTAATATTTTAGTAGAGATTGACGTAAAATTCTCTTACCAGTAAACTCAAATTTCCATCGGTTTCGCTTAAGTTGA